CAAATACAAAACACCATTAAGGTTACACACAATACTAAAATAAATTAGTCCGTGTAAAGGCAATTCAGAGAATTGTTTCAAAACGCATTATAAATGTTGGAAATGTATTTCTGAAAATGCGTTACAAAGACTGTGGTCTATGTAGTATTGAATTGAGTTAGACCGTTAAACACTCACCATTTTTGTGTTTGGGATTTTTTGGGGGTGGGGCTGAAATCGTGTCTCGATGACGTAGTGGACCACTGAGCATGGCCCCTCCCCCAACACTATAAGAGGTGCGTTCGACTTGAAGCAGCGCTGTGCAGACCGATTGTTGTCATAGGACATCGAACTACAGTGAGAGCTATAGAGAGCAGACAGCTCCTTATGCTTTAGAATCACTGTCGCGGCACTTTGATGTCATACACTGATTGGTCTGCACAGCGCCGCTTCAAATCAAACACACCTACAAACTAGAGTGCATTAGCATCAGTGGTTCGCCAGCTTAATCGCAAATTACAGTCATTACCGTTCGTTACTACCGCCTACTGTTTGCTTACTAGCTATGACTTACTGAAATAAATTAACTTTTCCATGACATTCTAATTTATTGAGATGCACCTATACATGTTTATCTTTCTTCAGAAAAAATATTAGCAAAATCAAAAATCTGAGCTGGGGACCTCTGGTTGAGTTGACACAGAATGACCAATATAGAAGGTCATATAGTGTCTTAAACAAATACAAAACACCATTAAGGTTACACACAATACTAAAATAAATAAGTCCGTGTAAAGGCAATTCAGAGAATTGTTTCAAAACGCATTATAAATGTTGGAAATGTATGTCTGAAAATGTGTTACAAAGACTGTGGTCTATGTAGTATTGAATTGAGTTAGACCGTTAAACACTCACCATTTTTGTGTTTGGGATTTTTTTGGGGTGGGGCTGAAATCGTGTCTTGATGACGTAGTGGACCACTGAGCATGGCCCCTCCCCCAACATAAGAGGTGCGTTCGACTTGAAGCAGCGCTGTGCAGACCGATTGTTGTCATAGGACATCGAACTACAGTGAGAGCTATAGAGAGCAGACAGCTCCTTATGCTTTAGAATCACTGTCGCGGTACTTTGATGTCATACACTGATTGGTCTGCACAGCGCCGCTTCAAATCAAACACACCTAAAAACTAGAGTGCATTAGCATCAGTGGTTCGCCAGCTTAATCGCAAATTACAGTCATTACCGTTCGTTACTACCGCCTACTGTTTGCTTACTAGCTATGACTTAGTCACATAAATGCATATTACCAAACATGTACGGCTGTGTGAATCCAATTAAGCTGCTAGAGGGAGCATCCATTCAGGTTGTAGCAGTATTTGACAGTTGAGAGAGGCGGCAGCTTTAACACGCAGCACAGACAGCGGGCATGCCCCCAGTGTTTGAGTGCTTATTTTTTTGAAAGATTTTGATAACTTATTTTATTTACTTGGTGGTATTTTATCATTCAGATTTGGCAGGGTGGTTAATAAAATTGTTCTGTGGTCTGACAAACGCAGAACACATATTCATTTTGTTCTGTTTACATCCAAAAACTGTACATTCAACAGTACGCTATGTTACTGTAAAATTACATTGTAAAATTTATTAAATGTCCCATTAGATTATTACAGTTTGATTTTACCATGGCATTTACGTCTTTTTACAGTTAAAATTAGCCTTTTTTCGGTGTAGAAACGTTATTTTCAGAAAAAAATTACTTGATATATATTGCTATTGTGAAAATAAAAAAATGCTCATATAATATCATATCAATCACTCTTAAAGGGATAGTTCACCCAAAAATGATAATTCTTTCTGTCATTAATTACTCGCCCTCATGTCGTTCCAAACGCGTAAGACCTTCGTTCATCTTCAGAGCACAAATTAAGATATTTTTGATGAAATCCAAGAGCTTTCTGACCCTCGGTGGAAAGCAGCGCAACTGAAATGTTCCCAGACCTAGAAACGTAGCCACGACATCGGTAAAAATAGACCATGTGACATCAGAGGTTCAACCGTAATTTTACGAAGCTACGAGAAATACTTTTTGTACGCAAAGAAAACAAAAATAATGACTTGACAATTCTTCTTCTCTTCATCCCATCTTCCGCCATTATGGAGAGTACCACGACACATGCGCATACTTTGATCTGCACGTAAAAAAATGCATGCGCGCGGTGCTGCTGACACAGAACACGCATCCGTCATGATACTCTCCATAATGGCAGAAGACGGTAACTCCGGGAGAAGAATTGTTAAATAAAGTAATTATTTCGGTTTTCTTTGCGCACATAAAGTATTCTCGTAGCTTCGTAAAATTACAGTTGAACCACTGATGTCACATGGACTATTTTACTGATGTCGTTGTTGCTACGTTTCTGGGTCTGGGAATATTTCAGGTGTGTTGCTGTCTATTGGAGGGATTAGAAAGCTCTCGGATTTCATCAAAAATATCCTAATTTGTGTTCTGAAGATGAACGAAGGTCATATAGGTTTGGAACGACACGAGGGCAAGTAATGCATGTCAGAATTTTCATTTTTGGGTGAACTATCCCTTTAAGTGTTCAATAATCATGATTACAATATTATTATCATAATTGGACACTGTGTTTGAGTCCTGGGATGGACTAGCCATCCGTCCACCTTGTCTTTGGCTGGGATGGGCTCCAGCAAAACCCTCAACCCAACATAAGACAGGCGGTTTGATTTTTATTCATATTTTATAGGATCATGTTAAAAGTTACAGCGATAGCTCAGCCAAAAATGACAATTCTGTCATCATGTACTCACCCCATCATGTCCTTCAAAACCGTCACTGGAAAAAATGGCAGAGATATGTGAAATTAGTTGTGAGAACGTTTGTGGTTTAATACTTTGTTATTAATGGAATGCAATTCGTTGCACATTTTAGGGCTGCTGTATCACCAACATCATCTCTCTGTCTGTTG